CAGTGTTTGCACCACAGTACTCACCCGGTGCTGGTAAGGAGGAGGAGGAGGGGGGTGGTGGGGGCCGAGAAGCCTCAGATGTAAACAGTCACGCCCCCCTCGGGGAGCACTGAACAACATGGCGTACTAATAATGTACATGTGTATTAATAATGTACATGTGTATCAATAATGTATATGTGTAGGGCGACAGTAGCTCAGTTGGTAGAGCATTGGCCTTAAGGCCAGAAGGTTGTGGGTTCATTTCCTCTGCACCTTCTCCACCGACTCCCGCTGATGACTGCTGTCGTTGTGTCCTTGGGCAAGACACTTAACCCCACTTTGCCCAAAGCTCCCACTGAAAGATCAAGGCTATGCTCACACTCAGAGAGCAGCCGTCCTCCTGTGGACTCACCACCTGCAGAGGGTCAGTGAGGGGCTGTGCTATGAGACTTGGGTGGCATCTCTGACTGCCACCCCCCTGACCCAGAAATGGATTAAAGGGTAGAACATGGATGGATGGATGGAATGGATGGATGTATTAATAATGTATATGTGTATTAATAATGTATAAGTGTATTAATAATGTGCATGTGTATTAATAATGTACATGTGTATTAATAATGTATAAGTGTATTAATAATGTGCATGTGTATTAATAATGTACATGTGTATTAATAATGTATATGTGTATTAATAATGTACATGTGTATTAATAATGTACATGTGTATTAATAATGTACATGTGTATTAATAATGTATATGTGTATTAATAATGTATAAGTGTATTAATAATGTACATGTGTATTAATAATGTACATGTGTATTAATAATGTATATGTGTATTAATAATGTACATGTGTATTAATAATGTACATGTGTATTAATAATGTATAAGTGTATTAATAATGTACATGTGTATTAATAATGTACATGTGTATTAATAATGTACATGTGTATTAATAATGTACATGTGTATTAATAATGTATAAGTGTATTAATAATGTACATGTGTATTAATAATGTACATGTGTATTAATAATGTATATGTGTATTAATAATGTATAAGTGTATTAATAATGTACATGTGTATTAATAATGTATATGTGTATTAATAATGTATAAGTGTATTAATAATGTACATGTGTATTAATAATGTATAAGTGTATTAATAATGTATAAGTGTATTAATAATGTACATGTGTATTAATAATGTACATGTGTATTAATAATGTGCATGTGTATTAATAATGTACATGTGTATTAATAATGTACATGTGTATTAATAATGTACATGTGTATTAATAATGTATAAGTGTATTAATAATGTACATGTGTATTAATAATGTATAAGTGTATTAATAATGTATAAGTGTATTAATAATGTACATGTGTATTAATAATGTATATGTGTATTAATAATGTACATGTGTATTAATAATGTATATGTGTATTAATAATGTATATGTGTATTAATAATGTACATGTGTATTAATAATGTATATGTGTATTAATAATGTACATGTGTATTAATAATGTATATGTGTATTAATAATGTACATGTGTATTAATAATGTACATGTGTATTAATAATGTATAAGTGTATTAATAATGTACATGTGTATTAATAGTGTACATGTGTATTAATAATGTATAAGTGTATTAATAATGTACATGTGTATTAATAATGTAAATGTGTATTAATAATGTACATGTGTATTCATAATGTATATGTGTATTAATAATGTATATGTGTATTAATAATGTACATGTGTATTAATAATGTATAAGTGTATTAATAATGTACATGTGTATTAATAATGTACATGTGTATTAATAATGTATATGTGTATTAATAATGTGCATGTGTATTATTAATGTACATGTGTATTAATAATGTATATGTGTATTAATAATGTATATGTGTATTAATAATGTACATGTGTATTAATAATGTATATGTGTATTAATAATGTACATGTGTATTAATAATGTATATGTGTATTAATAATGTACATGTGTATTAATAATGTATATGTGTATTAATAATGTACATGTGTATTAATAATGTACATGTGTATTAATAATGTATAAGTGTATTAATAATGTACATGTGTATTAATAATGTACATGTGTATTAATAATGTATAAGTGTATTAATAATGTACATGTGTATTAATAATGTACATGTGTATTAATAATGTACATGTGTATTAATAATGTATATGTGTATTAATAATGTACATGTGTATTAATAATGTATAAGTGTATTAATAATGTACATGTGTATTAATAATGTACATGTGTATTAATAATGTACATGTGTATTAATAATGTATATGTGTATTAATAATGTGCATGTGTATTATTAATGTACATGTGTATTAATAATGTATATGTGTATTAATAATGTATATGTGTATTAATAATGTACATGTGTATTAATAATGTACATGTGTATTAACATGTGTATAATGTATAAGTGTATTAATAATGTACATGTGTATTAATAATGTACATGTGTATTAATAATGTACATGTGTATTAATAATGTATAAGTGTATTAATAATGTACATGTGTATTAATGTGTATTAATAATGTATAAGTGTATTAATAATGTACATGTGTATTAATAATGTATATGTGTATTAATAATGTATATGTGTATTAATAATGTACATGTGTATTAATAATGTACATGTGTATTAATAATGTACATGTGTATTAATAATGTATATGTGTATTAATAATGTACATGTGTATTAATAATGTATATGTATAATGTGTTCTCTGATTAACATTTAAATGTGTTTTGGAAACGTAGGTGTAGACCAATCAGAAAGGAAGGGGGAGGAGCTTGTGTCGTTTTCTTCAAACCAAGCACCTCTCTCTCTTTACTCTGACAAACTGCAGACGATCACTTTAATGAACATCAATATTAAACAGATGTAAATATTACGGATTATAGCCACAAAGCTCGTTTTCATCTCCTGTCCCTCGGCAGAAAAACACAGCAAATAAAAAAAACATACAATACAGTAAAATACAACATTATACATTTATTATTATTTTATTTATCTCTGTTTTTCTGACCTTGCTGATCTGGACCTCAGTGTCCACCTCCAGAAATAACAGTGACATCACCTTCAAAAGATCAACACAACAATCTGTCCACACAGATTAGAAAATCAAACCCTTCAAACTCAAGATGAGGTCCATAAGAGACAGATGAGGTCCATAAGACACAGATGAGGTCCATAAGAGACAGATGAGGTCCATAAGACACAGATGAGGTCCATAAGACACAGATGAGGTCCATAAGACACAGATGAGGTCCATAAGAGACAGATGAGGTCCATAAGACACAGATGAGGTCCATAAGAGACAGATGAGGTCCATAAGACACAGATGAGGTCCATAAGACACAGATGAGGTCCATAAGACACAGATGAGGTCCATACGACACAGATGAGGTCCATAAGAGACAGATGAGGTCCATAAGACACAGATGAGGTCCATAAGACACAGATGAGGTCCATAAGACACAGATGAGGTCCATAAGAGACAGATGAGGTCCATACGACACAGATGAGGTCCATAAAACACAGATGAGGTCCATAAGACACAGATGAGGTCCATAAGACACAGATGAGGTCCATAAGAGACAGATGAGGTCCATAAGACACAGATGAGGTCCATAAGACACAGATGAGGTCCATAAGACACAAATTAGAAAATCAAACCCTTCAAACTCAAGATGAGGTCCATAAGACACAGATGAGGTCCATACGACACAGATGAGGTCCATAAGAGACAGATGAGGTCCATAAGACACAGATGAGGTCCATAAGACACAGATGAGGTCCATAAGACACAGATGAGGTCCATAAGACACAGATTAGAAAATCAAACCCTTCAAACTCAAGATGAGGTCCATAAGAGACAGATGAGGTCCATAAGAGACAGATGAGGTCCATAAGAGACAGATGAGGTCCATAAGAGACAGATGAGGTCCATAAGACACAGATGAGGTCCATAAGACACAGATGAGGTCCATAAGAGACAGATGAGGTCCATAAGACACAGATGAGGTCCATAAGACACAGATGAGGTCCATAAGACACAGATGAGGTCCACACATGTGGATACGTTCCATTAAAGAATGTTGTGTGTCCTGCTGCATCAGAAAAGAAACGTCTAAAAACACAGTGGGAGGGGCCTCGCTTCTGTCAGTGTGCCCCAGGGCAGCTGTGGCTACAGTAGTTTATCACCAGTGTGTTTGGAGAGAGAGAATAATGACATGTAAAGAGACTGACGCTCTGTAAACTGATACATTTTCTAATCATTATAACCACAGCTTTAACTAAGTTGTTGATTTGCTAATAACAGATTAGAAACCAAACAATGAAGACAGACTGATGGTGACAGTTCTTATCTTTACCAAATGGATCACAGTCTGTGACAATGGACAATGTAAAACTGTGTAAAACGAGGCTGAGGCTGAGGCAGAGGCAGAGGCTGAGGCTGAGACTGAGGCAGAGCTGAGGCAGAGGCAGAGGCAGAGGCAGAGGCAGAGGCTGAGGCAGAGCTGAGACTGAGGCTGAGGCTGAGGCAGAGGCAGAGGCAGAGGCTGAGGCTGAGACTGAGGCAGAGGCTGAGACTGAGGCAGAGGCTGAGGCTGAGGCTAAGCTGAGGCTGAGGCTGAGGCAGAGGCAGAGGCAGAGGCTGAGACTTGGCCGTGGTTCGGTTTTGGGCGGTCTTCTGATGGATCTGGATCCACAGCAGAGGAAGTGGGAGCTGCAGCGTTGGCTCTGGATGTCTTTATTAAACATTCATGGATTCTGAGGCTTTGATACACTTTGGGAGACTTTATGTGGAACGTTTATAAAAGCACAGGACACAGAATACACTCATTTCACAGAAGAAAGTTCAGTGTTGCCACAAGGACAAAGATTAACAAAGATTCTTACACAGCAGTGAGGAGGACTGGGCTGAAACCACTGGACTTCAGACTGCTGTGGATGTGTTTCATGACTGCCACTGACCCAGCCGCTCAGGTCAGCAGCTCCATCAGCAGCTCAGGTCAGCAGCTCCATCAGCAGCTCAGCTCAGGTCAGCAGCTCAGGTCAGCAGCTCAGGTCAGGTCAGCAGCTCAGGTCAGCCGCTCAGGTCAGCAGCTCCATCAGCAGCTCAGGTCAGCAGCTCAGCTCAGGTCAGCAGCTCCATCAGCAGCTCAGGTCAGCAGCTCAGGTCAGCAGCTCAGCTCAGGTCAGCAGCTCAGGTCAGCAGCTCCATCAGCAGCTCAGGTCAGCAGCTCAGGTCAGCAGCTCCATCAGCAGCTCAGGTCAGGTAAATAAGTACTGGGCGTGGTTAGTCTCAAGGGGCGTGGTCATTAAGCAGTTCTAGCTTCTACACACTGGTCTTATTAATATATCCTTCTAAGCCGTAAATAGATATTATTTCATTTTTTGTCCCTTTCATGTGTTCTTCCTGGTCAGATTCCTGCACATCTCTACATTTCTACAGTTTTACGACACCATAAACCAGTGTTTGTGGTTCCTCTGGCGCCCCCTGGTGGTCTCCTGATGTTTATAGTAAGATAAAAACACACAGTAGTATCACAGCAGCTTGTTCTTCCTAAAGGTCACTCCTCAAACATCAGGTCCTGGTCCGCGGGTCACACTGAGAAGCATCTAATCAAAGACGGACCGTGAGGAGCTAATGGTGTCAAAGCCCGGACTCGGGTCTGGACACAACACGGATCCCACTGACCTTTCCTCGCACTGGACCGACTGCAAATGTCACAGCACCTCCCGCCACGCCCGCCCCAGACACGTTCGTTACAGAGTGTCCTTTAACGTGATGAGCGAGATCATGAGCTCAAAGAAGTCATATGCTGTTCAATGTCATTCATGTATGTATTATGTACATTCTCTTCTTTCAGAATAGTTATTTGATAAATCCTTAGACTACGCAGAGATTTCAGTTTTTTCTGCATTTAAAACTAAAGTAAAAGATCGCTCCAGATGTGAAAGAGCAGAATGTAATTTAAAAATGCATCATATGTGTTCTTTAAAGTTGACTGTTGTTCTTGTTGTTACTTATGTGGCGATAAAAATGATTCTGATTCTGTTTGATAAATGATTGATGAAGTCTGGATGTATTCAGTGTTTTACCACAATCTGTGGCCGTGATGTCATCCACACTTAAAGCTCAGGTCCCTAATTTTCACAGTAAATGGAACTATGTAATAAATCATTTCTTGTTTGGTTCTGACAAAACTCATGTATTTTTATTCTTTTTGTCCTGACAGCAGACTCCGCCCTCTCTCACGTTCCCGTTTCTGTTCAGATAAAGCTCGTTGTGTGGTTTGTTCTGGACAGTTTTACTTTTACAAGACTCTTTTACAAACTCTAAAAGGTCTAAAGTGACGGTGACAGGTGCATTTCAACGCCCCTTGTCCATCTTTACTGCTTTTTCATCCTAAAAAAGGATAGTGGAAAGTGGCTGCGCTGTAGTTGAAGGATGCCTGAAGATACAGGGAGCTCACAGGGGGACAGTCAAAAGCACTTGGAGGAAATACCCATAATGCTTTGCTGCACTCTTCAGTCAGTTTTGTGATTCCCTGGAAAGCCACAGTGTGCAGATGTAGGGCCCCTGGAGCTCTGCGTGAGGCGATTGTTCAGATTTATGCTTTAGTTTGAGCGTAAGAGCAGAGCGAAGGGAGTTTCATGTGACAATATTTAGCTTTGAGTTCCTTTATGTAAGAAACTAAACTCCAGGTGTTTAAAAGCAAACCTTTCTCTGTGGTTAAAGGAGCTGAGTTTGTCTCTCTGTAAAAACTCATGACACTTCCTGGTAACTGAGCAGAGCATAGATGAAGAGCGGGTGAAGCAAAAGCAGCAGCCGTGTCTTGATCAGCCGCCTCTTACGCACAGGAGCTGACCTAAAGGTAATCACGGGACTCCCCAACAGAGACATAGTCAGCAGAGACACCATGAGACAATACAAGGTGTGCCCATGTGTGTGTGTGGGGCCAGGGACATTTTGTGACGGATCAAATGCCGAGGTCAGGTCTAAAAACTCCCTGGCCATAGGTTTTAACGCTGACAGCTCACATGCACGTTAAAGAATCAGAATCAGAATCAGAATCAGAATCATTTTTATTGCCACGTGAGTAACAAAGTTATCACTTGTCCTGAATTGTTTTGGCCTGACTAGAACCAGGAAGTACGACCACATTAGTCCTGACAAGAACCAGGAAGTACGACCCACATTAGTCCTGACTAGAACCAGGAAGTACGACCACATTAGTCCTGACTAGAACCAGGAAGTACGACCATATTAGTCCTGACTAGAACCAGGAAGTACGACCAAATTAGTCCTGACTAGAACCAGGAAGTACGACCACATTAGTCCTGACTAGAACCAGGAAGTACGACCATATTAGTCCTGACTAGAACCAGGAAGTACGACCACATTAGTCCTGACTAGAACCAGGAAGTACGATCACATTAGTCCGGTCCTCAGGTCTCTGCACTGGCTTCCTGTGGCTCAGAGAATAGACTTTAAAACAGCTCTGCTTGTTACAAGTCTCTCCATGGCCTCGCACCAAAATATATTAGTGACATGTTAGTCCCATATGAACCAGCCCGGACTCTAAGGAGCACAGGGACTGGCCTCCTGCTGGGACTCTGAGGAGCACAGGGACTGGACTCCTGCTGGGACTCTGAGGAGCACAGGGACTGGACTCCTGCTGGGACTCTGAGGAGCACAGCGACTGGCCTCCTGCTGGGACTCTGAGGAGCACAGGGACTGGCCTCCTGCTGGGACTCTGAGGAGCACAGGGACTGGACTCCTGCTGGGACTCTGAGGAGCACAGGGACTGGACTCCTGCTGGGACTCTGAGGAGCACAGGGACTGGACTCCTGCTGGGACTCTGAGGAGCACAGGGACTGGTCTCCTGCTGGGACTCTGAGGAGCACAGGGACTGGACTCCTGCTGGGACTCTGAGGAGCACAGGGACTGGCCTCCTGCTGGGACTCTGAGGAGCACAGGGACTGGTCTCCTGCTGGGACTCTGAGGAGCACAGGGACTGGCCTCCTGCTGGGACTCTGAGGAGCACAGGGACTGGACTCCTGCTGGGACTCTGAGGAGCACAGGGACTGGCCTCCTGCTGGGACTCTGAGGAGCACAGGGACTGGTCTCCTGCTGGGACTCTGAGGAGCACAGGGACTGGACTCCTGCTGGGACTCTGAGGAGCACAGGGACTGGCCTCCTGTTAGTGCCCAGAGTCAGAACTAAACATGGGGAGGCAGCGTTTGAGATTTATGGAGCTAAAATCTGGAACAATCTTCCTGAAGATGTGAGACAGGCATCTACTCTGGCAATTTTTAAATCAGGGCTAAAAACTGTTCTCTTTAGCTGTGCATACGGCTGAAGGATTTTATTGATACATACTCTTTTTTAATGCATTGTGGTTATTTATTATTTTAATCCTGTGTGTGCTTTTAATGTTTTAAGGTTTTTTCATTACTTGTGATTTTATTCTGTTTTTAATGTATTTATTGTTTGTATATGTAGTTTTTGATGTTTCTGATTTGTCTGATATTATGTGGGTTGTGAGGCGCTTTGAGTGGCCTTGTGTTGGAAAGGCGCCATACAAATAAAGTTGATTGATTATATGCTAAATTAAAGTAGAGTGCTTTAAGCCTGGCCTTGAATGTGGAGACCGTATCTGCTTCCTTAACATAAATGAAGCTGATTCCACAGTAAAGGAGCTTGGTAGCTAAATGCTCTGCCACCAACAGTGACCTTTGAGACCTTAGGGACCACCAGACGTCTGGCGTTTTGTGAGCGCAACGCTCGACCTGGTTGATACGACACTAACGTGTCTTGGAGATAAGAAGGAGCCAAGCCATTTATGGCTTTATATGTTAAGAGTAGGATTTTAAACTTTATTCTGTACTCCACAGGGAGCCAGTGGAGTGATTTTATACTGTAGCCTGTAGCATGATTAGCCTGTAGCATGATTAGCCTGTAGCCTGTAGCATGATTAGCCTGTAGCATGATTAGCCTGTAGCCAGTAGCATGATTAGCCTGTAGCATGATTAGCCTGTAGCTTGTAGCATGATTAGCCTGTAGCCTCATTAGCCTGTAGCCAGTAGCATGATTAGCCTGTAGCCTGTAGCATGATTAGCCTGTAGCATGATTAGCCTGTAGCCTCATTAGCCTGTAGCCAGTAGCATGATTAGCCTGTAGCATGATTAGCCTGTAGCATGATTAGTGTAGCTTGTAGCATGATTAGCCTGTAGCCTCATTAGCCTGTAGCCAGTAGCATGATTAGCCTGTAGCCTGTAGCATGATTAGCCTGTAGCATGATTAGTCTGTAGCCTGTAGCATGATTAGCCTGTAGCCTGTAGCATGATTAGCCTGTAGCCTGTAGCATGATTAGCATGTAGCCTGTAGCATGATTAGCCTGTAGCATGATTAGCTTGTAGCATGATTAGCCTGTAGCCTGTAGCATGATTAGCCTGTAGCATGATTAGTCTGTAGCCTGTAGCATGATTAGCCTGTAGCCTGTAGCATGATTAGCCTGTAGCCTGTAGCATGATTAGCATGTAGCCTGTAGCATGATTAGCCTGTAGCATGATTAGCTTGTAGCATGATTAGCCTGTAGCCTGTAGCATGATTAGCCTGTAGCCTGTAGCATGATTAGCCTGAGGCCTGTAGCATGATTAGCCTGTAGCATGATTAGCATGTAGCCTGTAGCATGATTAGCCTGTAGCCTGTAGCATGATTAGCCTGAGAACTGTAGCATGATTAGCCTGTAGCATGATTAGCCTGTAGCATGATTAGCCTGTAGCCTGTAGCATTATTAGTCTGTAGCCTGTAGCATGATTAGCCTGTAGCCTGTAGCATGATTAGCCTGTAGCATGATTAGCCTGTAGCCTGTAGCATTATTCGCCTGTAGCCTGTAGCATGATTAGCCTGTAGCCTGTAGCATGATTAGCCTGTAGCATGATTAGCCTGTAGCCTGTAGCATGATTAGCCTGTAGCATGATTAGCCTGTAGCCTGTAGCATGATTAGCCTGTAGCCTGTAGCATGATTAGCCTGTAGCCTGTAGCATGATTAGCCTGAGGCCTGTAGCATGATTAACCTGTAGCATGATTAGCCTGTAGCCTGTAGCATAATTAGCCTGAGAACTGTAGCATGATTAGCCTGAGGCCTGTAGCATGATTAGCCTGAGGCCTGTAGCATAATTAGCCTGAGGCCTGTAGCATGATTAGCCTGTAGCATTATTAGCCTGTAGCATAATTAGCCTGTAGCCTGTAGCATGATTAGCCTGAGGCCTGTAGCATGATTAGCCTGAGGCCTGTAGCATCATTAGCCTGTAGCATGATTAGCCTGTAGCCTGTAGCATGATTAGTTTGTAGCCTGTAGCATGATTAGCCTGTAGCATGATTAGTTTGTAGCCTGTAGCATGATTAGCCTGTAGCATTATTAGCCTGTAGCCTGTAGCATGATTAGCCTGTAGCCTGTAGCATCATTAGCCTGTAGCCTGTAGCATGATTAGTTTGTAGCCTGTAGCATGATTAGCCTGTAGCCTGTAGCATGATTAGCCTGTAGCTTGTAGCATGATTAGCCTATAGCATGATTAGCCTGTAGCATCATTAGCCTGTAGC